AAACAGGAAATATTTTATTTATTTTGAACTAATTTTAGACTGCCTTTACAAAGGAAAACTTGACATTGAGACATCACTGTTGTTAATACCAAGCAAATACTCAAAACTTCTGCAAATCTTATATTTTTACCTTGACCTATTAAATTGTACTTGTTAGGGAATCTCATTTACATCATGCCTTGAACACCTTAACAGACACACCACAAGCACTACTTATCGAGTTTTGGGTTGTCACTTCTGACAGCATAGTCCAACCATGTCCAAGTAATAGAATGTGATACAATCCATGCCAGATTAGAGCAACAAATTTATTTAATGTCCATATCATTTATGATTACAGCAGCACTGTGGATAATCACCACTTCACATACTTATAGGAAGGACATATGAAATGGATTGACACATCTGGAAATAAGTTGTAGTTTGACTTCCTGAAACAGTTTACTAATATGTATGGAGACAAGAACGGGAACTTTTCCCAACCCACAATCAAAGTTTTGTAAATCTCCTAATTAATTCAATGACTCAATGCCAATACAGGCAAGCAAGACTTTGGGTTTCGTGCACTCTGATCATTTTATTTCTTTAGAAACCTTTAGACATCTAAACCAAGAATTACGGCTACTTCATGCAATTCTTGCTCCATAATATAAGTGCAATCTAATTTTCTTGAACTAAAAGTATATTACTTTCTTTTGAACCTTTTCCCTGAAATATTGTTAACGGTCCCAGGAAAAAAAAGTGTTTCAAGCCTATTTTCCTTTCTCAGATGTTAGAGGTTACTTGAGACAAAAAAGTAAAGGAAAGAAAAGGCCACTGCAGCAATAACCACAGGACAAAGTCTGGCTGTGAATACATATTCCTTAATTTTCACCAATACTTTGTAATGATTCTAATTCTTTAACAGCAATCCTTCCACCATTTTCAATCAGCATATACCTCATGTTCTGTGTCTCAAGTTAAAAAACTCAGCTACTGCCTTGTAGAATAATTTTGTTCCCACAGATCAATGGGTCAATGTCCAAGTAGTTAATTTAAAAAGAAGTAATTATTTACTTTAGAAACCATCATTGTGTTTTGGATACCAAATAATTGCACTCATCTTTCTTCCTCTTCATCTTCATCATCATCATCATCCCTCCTTTTTGGGAGATTCAAGACAGCTTCAACAGATAAAAACGCATACCCCATTATACAAGAGATACAAGTGGGATGATGATGTTGATAATGATGTATAGATCTAGATGTTTTTGGTAAAAAAAATCAACCCACAAAAGCTTGAGTCAACATATCCCCAGTTAGTGTGAATACTGTACCGTACCTCTTATTAAAAGGGAAACAAAAGAAACCACCCCTTTTGAGTACAGCTGCAAAAGGCAAGAGCTTGGTCTGCCATGGCAAAATCTAAAAGAAGCACTACTCCGCTACTCTCGCTGCTGTAGTGGTGTGTCTGGCTTTTTGAATGCTTGGAGAAAGGAATGATTACAGCAGCTCCTGAGGTGGCATTGGTACTTTCCCTTCTTCATGGAATGACCCTGGACTTATCCATAGGCCATATCAAAATCCAGAATTTTGACTTAAAAACCTGTCCTTGGCTTATACATGAGGTCAACTCATACATGAGTATTAAAATTCACAAAATATAAATGTTAAAAACTAGTTTAAATATCAAAAATTAAAACCAAGTAAAACCACCAAAATAAAAAATAACTGATAGAAAGTGCAACACATTGTTTAGGTGGCTTGAACCTTGTGCATTTAGTTTTCAAAGGCCTGTCAAAATAGAAAGGTACTCACCTGTCTGCAAAACAAACATAGGAAGGGTGTCAGTTTAACCTCCCTGGGAAGCTAATTTGAATATTGTACAATAATTAACAAAATTGTGCTTGTGGGTAAAGATATAGAAAAAGAATGTGGCCTGGGTCATGGGTGAGAACTTGGGAAGTTTTTAATAATTAAAAAATAATTTTAATTTTTACAAAACCTTCCAGGGAAGTGAGATTTAGAGTATAGGGGAACCCGTTCAGAAGTTCTCTTTTATATTTCCACCAGATGTACATATGAAGATGGTGGGACAGAGAGAAATGCCTCCTCAGAGGACCTCAGAAGACATGCAAGTCTCAAGTAACCTGGACTTGAGCTATGTAAAGATCTGTAGTTCAAGATCACCACTTTGATTGTGCCCAGAAATATGCCCACAATCAATGGAGCTGTTGCAACAAAGGTGCATCTCAGATGTAGAATGAATGCTGTTTGATACCAATTTAACTGCCATGGCTCAGTTATAGCTAGCTAGCTATAGTTTTCAGGCTCTTTGGTCTGCTCTGCCAAAGAGAATTGGCCCATCACCAGACTATTGAGCCCCCGGTGGTGCAGTGAGTTAAACCCCTGTGCCGGCAGGACTGAAGACCGACAGGTCGCAGGTTCGAATCCAGGGAGAGGCAGATGAGCTCCCTCTATCAGCTCCAGCTCCTCATACGGGGACATGAGAGCAGCCTCCCACAAGGATGATAAAAACATCAAAGTCATCCGGGTGTCCCCTGGGCAACATCCTTGCAGATGGCCAATTCTCTCAGAAGTGACTTGCAGTTTCTCAAGTCGCTCCTGACACGATAAAAAAAAAACCCAGATTATTAATCTCATAATTCTATTGCATTGAGACATGGCAGTTAGTGATGTTAAACTGAATTAATTCTACAGTGCAGATATATCCTATTCCTCCTGTCCCCACTAATGGCATGGAAATTCCAAGTCTGTGCTCTTATATGACACATATTTGCTTAGGTAACAAGCTAGATGCTCAGGTAATTTGATCTGGTTCCTGTATTAGGAGAAAAATACATACAATATTGCACAGGCACTAAACCACTGTAGAAAGTAAGCAAAATAAATTCCGAGTCTCTTCCAAACCAAAGCTGTTTTAAAATTTAAGGCAAACAATTTTCTCAAAGTCTTTTTACTTTTTCTTTTTGCTCCTTAAGTAAACTCTAACAGAAAAACAAAACAATAAGCATATTATTACATAACATGCTACTGAAAGTTTGGACAGACATGCTCTTTAGGGAAATAAGTGTGCTTTGTCTATAAAGTTGCCCATATTCTTTATTCACCAAGCAAAACATGACATTGCTCAGGGTCATTTCCGTTTGCTTACAGTTCAGTTTTTATTCAGCTAGCTTTTGTCAACTTCCCAAAGAAACACAAACAGCTTTTGCAGACCGAGTCTGTTCTTTCCAGCTTATAGCCGAGTGCTATAAAAATATCTGGTCCTTTCATCTTTATTTTAAGATGTAGAATTTTCATTAAAACTACAGTTACAATGTGCCTGCAAATATTTCATTGATAAAAAATTCCTGATGGGAAGGGGTTTATCTCAAATGCAGTTATTAAGGCAGAAAAAATTAAATGGTCCAAGCTTTTGTGAGTTTATAACAGTTCACACATAAAAGAGGGGAAAGTTCATAGAATGTTTTAGACATCTTATATGAACCTGGAATGTATGGGAATACAGGTAACAGGGCTGTAGCCAGAGGTACACTTTCAAAAAGTGGTTTTGCTCGATTCAGTCTACCCTATCAAGAGTTCATAGAAGAAAACCAAAATTGAGTCAACACTTATTAATGCAAGGGTAATTTTAAACAAGAATTAAGGCAGTGTGGCATAAAGCCTGAACTGATCTTGTAGGCACATATAGAAGCAGCCCCTCCATGCAAATCTAGACCAACTCTGGTGACCAACTAAGGTTTCTTTGTAGTAAGCTTTTTTAAACAATAAGCTGGAAAATGTGTGTCCATGCATTTAGACACATATCCATGTATGGAAAAAATATACATTTCTGCTAAGAGTTGAAAAGCCTGATCATGTAGCAGCTGGCCTTTGGCTTCATTTTGGCAGAAAAAAGAGTTTGTGAACTATGTGTGTGTGTGTGTATTAATGTTGCCTTTTACGACCTAGAGCAATGTTACTGGCATGATGCTTCAAATCCAAAAGTGGAACAGAAGGGTCACAAATCAAGGTCATCCATCACTCTCCTATCATTCCAGTATACAGAAATGCATCACTGTAATAGCTGCATCATTAAAGCAATAGCACAAAAGCATGTGTTACAGTGAAAGCAAGACTCAAGTCTGCATGAAGTCCAAAGCACACACTTGTTTCTTTGGGATTACTTTACTAAAGAATGTTGAGCAAAACGCAGGAACGGGAAACATCACTTCCCTTAGATCAGGCTGAAGACAAGAGATTAAAGAATTCTCTGCCTCTACAAATTTTCTCTGGTTCTCACTGTGTCGGTACAGCTAACTCTGCATACCGATTGCCCTCATTCACATGCACAAAGCACTAGATTTTTATGGACAGAGCTGAATAAACTGATACAGATGTAAAAATAGATCATCAATAGGAAGAATTCCATAAATGCACTGGGGAATGTTCAACATCAGAACTAATCCAGAACTTTCTGTCCTCCTATGTGAAAGGGATAGCTTCTTTTAAATAAGCACAAAAGCTCAGAACCTTTCTGTTCAGATCAAAGAAACATTTTCAACCCTGATTTCCAAAACCAACACCAAACACCATGCCCATGAAAAGTATTCTATTAGATAAAGGCTTGTTTTACAAAATTTCAAAAATCAAATATTTTGAAGTTTAGATAAAGGCTTATTTTACAATATTTCAAAAATCAAATATTTTGAAGTTAGATCTTTTCTTGCTCCACTAAAACTTTGCATACTTTAATACTGCAAAATCATGTCCTAGAAACTCTTAAATCACTCTAGATGTCCAGACCACCAAAACGATTATTCAGGGAAACAACAAGGAGAAAAAAATAAAAGCAGGGAAAATACAGGATTGTAGTATTCATTTTAGAACAGGAACATCTTTAATCAGAGCAAGAGAGTGTCCCTTAGCCCTAATCATCCATTTGGAACACAGCTAGTAAAGATGAAATCATGTTTAGGTTTTCTGAAAAAGAAAAAAATATATGATGGAACACTTACGATCAAGTCCATTGACGTATCTCATTGTAATTTCACAGTGTCCCCAAACTGCGCTGACTACTGGATAGAGTTTTTTCCCTTTTAGACCCCTAAAGGCCACTCCAAGGTACTGTCCATCCACAATGAAACTAAGCGTCCCTTCATCCATATCCAAAACTACCAGTAAGGAGTCTGGGAGTACAAAAGACTCATCTGGTTCCAAAAATACAGGATATGTTGCTCCAGGCTGGTTTTTACAGTTGTGATAAAGTTTGTTACGTCCAAGGTCCCAGCCCCATGACTCGTTATTGCTGCCAACCAATGAAGTATATCCTACAGAATGTAAAGGAGCCTCTGCTGTTGCCACTCCAACCACTGCATGAGTTCCTCGTTGCCTAGTAGGCCAGTGAATCTGCCAAACGTGCAGGCCCCTGGTATAGCCAACTTTACCCCGAATGCAATCGGTGCTTTGGGCAACTGGATGTCTATGAAACGTTAATTTGTCATCTTCCTTCACAAATATATTTAAGGATCGATCTTCGTTGTTCCAAGCATGTTTGTACTGAACCTCCAAATGGACTGGTGGCATATCCAGCAGCATATCCAGCCGTGCAGGTTTGCAGAAATCTGGTCCCCTGAGTTCTCGTTTGACCGGTCTGTAAGGGGGCTCCCGCACATCAACAGACTTTATGCTCCCTGAGATTTTTTGGCCCATTGTTCAGCTGCAGATGGCTTGGCTGCAGGGAATGAAGGGTAGATCTCAGCCCAGTGTTAACTCATGGAAGCACTTTCAAGCTGAGCCAACCACTTGGTGTGTGTCGATGGAATTTATTTCTCCTGTCTGGACCCTTTCACAGCCAATGTTTTCTGAAAACACATTCCTGAAATAAAGCAGAGTCGGCGGTTAAGAAGTAGCCAGCATATAATCCACATATGTAGCCTTTAAAAAAAGATTTCTACAATGGTGCCAAGTTACTTTAAAATGAAGAATTGATAACTCTTGGCTTCATTGTCTTTGTACTAAAGTATTCTCTAGTCAGACTGTCAGCTGGATATATTGAGCCCATGGTGTTCAGAGCACAGACAGCAATTTCCTTCTCTTCATAATGGATTCAGACATTCTACACCTTTTGCCCTTCCACCCATATAGCCCAGTCAGGGCTGTCATAGTGTATAAAAAGCCATTCTTTCATTATCAGGTATGCACACGACTGTATCCATTTCCAGTTACATTTTATTTACAATGCCTCAAAAGAAAAATATTTTGGAAAGCTGTTATTCTTACCTCTAGCATTTTTTTTACTAAATCTGCTTTCTTTATGCAAGAATTCATTTCAAGAGAATACAGTCTAGCATGCCACAGTGATAGCAAACAGCTGTGAAACCCAATACTCCATCTTTACAAATACCATACCCTTCAAAAATATATATAGGTCAATACTTATTTTACAGTTTCATGGTGAGCTTCAGGGAGGAAGTACGAAAGGTCGAACAATGAGCAGGTAATGCTATCACCAAGCATACTGAAATGACTTTGGTTTTAAAATATAAATCAGTGTATAAAATAGAGGTGTATTGTATTGAACAATTGGTTAGAATACAATGAACAAATTATTTGTCTCCAAAGTTTGGAAAGGATTTCGTTTTTGGATACAACTTGTAGAACCCCAGAGTCAGCACAACCAGTGTTTCCAAGCTCTGTTTGTACAACATACCATCCTAGAATTTTTGGACTATAGTGCTCCTTTACAACATCCTTTTCAATTGTGTATTACATTAATCAAGTTGCCTTTCATCTCAAAGAGAGCCTTGAAGATTGTTTACAATTAAAATCTCAAAGCAACATTTAGAATATTACAAACCGTAGAACCAGAAGCAGAAAAGAACAAAATGTGGATGTAACAGCCTAAATCTAATTGCTACTCGCAACCAAAGTAAAATCACTGAATCCACTGCTGAATTGTTAAATAGAGATTTAATGTGAAATCAATTTATTCAGCGAGAACACTTTTAGTTAGGACTAAAAACTGGATTTAGAACAATATGTTCAAAGTACTAAAAGGTCACATGGAAACAAAATGTTTTAGCAGCCAATCTGAAACAGAGGGGTCATACCAGCATCCTTATGTTTCCATTTACACAAACATCTCTAACCTGGAGGTTGGCAAAATAAGAACCTATAATCACATGCTTCTCCATTAGACAACATCCAGAACTTGGATTGCCCATTTTTAACCTATGCAGAGGTTCTGAGCACACACAAAAAATTCTCTGGATCAACTGCAGTTCCTCCACTTTAACTGCAGTTTCCTAGAACATCATCTCTGTTGGGGTGGTACATTCATAGGGTCATTTGATCACAGTTCAGGATACATTAGAAGAAGTAATTTTTCAGATATCCCTCATCACAAACCATATTGAGTTGTTTTACTGTGGGGCAAAAAAGATGCCTGATGTGTTACAAGATGTGCATATCACTTTTAATGCTGTACACAGTGCTACTAAAAACACCTGACAAACATTTACGTGGTGATTATTTTTAATAGCAGGAAGATATATCTTGTGATTAGCAACAAAGCATGCAGACTGAAATGGCACTGAATGAATCTATGCAAAGTGTTATTCAGGCTAAACCCAACTGCTAGGTCTGACTAGAAGAGACCCACTGAACCAACTGCCGAAAGAGAAGTCAAAAACTGATATAAACCCCACTCATTCAACAGGTTCACTGTAGCTAGAATAAGCAAGTGAATCTAAGCCTATATTTGCTACTACAAAAGATACTTCATTTAAATGAAACAACACCCCCGTATACACTCCCACAACAACAGATGCACACACAGAACTGTCTCACCACCATGGTACTGTAAATCATTATTTTGGAAAAGAGCTGCTGTGATCATGGAAACTATTTCCTCTTACACCCACTCACTCAATACACTATTCACAGGAAGGCATGCCTTGCATAAACCCATACTGTGCACGAAGAATCTTACAATGATACCTCCTGCCTTGTATGGGTCTAAGCATGATGTGAGGATAAAAGGGGGGCTGTATTATATATTGGCTGCTGTCACTGACTGGTTATAGATTGTCTTCTTGGGATTTGGTGACTGTATGCTATCCAAAGGGTATTTAATAGATCAATACAACATTACAAATAAATTTAATTTAAAAAATTAATTGTACAAACACTGCCCATGTTACAAACAAGAGGTTTTGTAAGTTTGTTAAGTTGAATTTGTATGTATGTTGGAACAGGTACATTTTTAAAGTGTAACTCCAGCCATTTTTTAAAAGGTTTGGATAGCATGGGGAAGGGTTAAGGCCCCTGTGGTGTTTCTTTTGCCTCATTTTACCTCATTTTCTTTCCCTGTGATAACTGGATTTTGAAAAATTTGGCTTGTTCAAGAACCAGTGCCTCAGGTACCCCTTACACATATAGCCTGAAGGCAATTTTGTACAACATATGTTAAATAATGTTGTGCATGAAACAAAGTTCATGTACAATGTACCATCAGAAAGCAAAGGTGTCATTATCTCAGCCACCCATATGGACAATTTCAGAGTTCTAATAAAACATGCTCCATCTGTATAATTTACTGTTTTAACTGTATTTGTTTTAACTCATTTTGTGAAGTGTTTTGGCTCTCATATTGAGAAAAGTGGAATAAATTTGAATACATTAATTAAAGAAAATGAATAGTTCATGGGAGGACCTATCCCATAAGATCCATGCAAACCTTAGGACAGGGGTGTGCAACCTGTGCTTCCCCAGATGTTTTGACCTACCATTCCCAGAAATTCCAGCCAGATTACCAGTTGTTAGGATTTCTGGGAGTTGAAGGCCAAAACATCTGAGCACCCACAGGTTGAGAACCACTGCCCTAGGAGTTCTCAGTACTCCAGGTCTTTCCAACTTGCTGGCCTCCAGCATGCCCTCTAGTGCTTCCCATTTTTGATAACACCAGCCCACTCCAAATCAGTATTAAAACACTTCCAAAGGCAGCTGCTCATCCAGGTCATTAATCTTCTATAAACTCCAAACATAACTGCACAAGGGCAGAGAATAACTTTCATATGAACATTTAAATTTGCATGAAGTGACCTAAATATGCCATATAGCAATGCTGCTCAAAGTGATGGTCCTTGGACCAATTCTGCCTCCTGAGTTCTTAACTGTCAGTAACTGTGAAGTTTCCTGGCTAAGAAACAATTGTAGCCAATCAGCACTAAGATTGTACCAGGCCTGACACAAGGGAAAAGAAATGCTGGTTCCCCACATCACATAGCTTGTGATGCACTGCCATAGAGCTGCAAATTTTAATGTTTCCAAGGGGCAGACTGTCATTCAGCACATTCAGACAAGTAGACCAGAATAGGATCAAGGAGTTGCAGACAGCAGAGAAGGTGAGAGCAGGTACCAACGTGAAACACAGTTAATTCAGCAATGAAGTGTCACTGAAGCCATCTAAACATTGTTAATATTGCCCAACACATTTCATTGCTCACAAATGCAGAATGCCTCTAGAACATGGCCATATAGCCCAAAAAAAAAAAACCTACAACAACCCAAATGCAGAATGATCACAATGCTACACATTGGATAATTTCAGAAGTGATGCCAACAACGGCCTTCCATCTGGAAGAGTTAAAACATATACTAAGATTAGAAGGATTACAAAACCGATCCTTCTTAAAACAATAAACAAGATAGGATTTAAATCCTCCACCATTCAAACTGTGTTAGTCATTCTCAAAGGCCAGTTTCCATAACTTTTAATTCTTTCCTAAAAGTCATTATTGTGGGAGCCAGTCTGATCTCCATGGGAAGGGAATCCCAGAACTGGGGGGCTATCACCAAGAAGGCCCTTTCCCTTTCCCCACCAACCACATCTCTGACAATGGTGGGACCATGAGAAGGGCTTCCCCAGCAGATCTTAGGGCCCAAGTGGGTTGATAGGGGGAAACACGATTACACAAATAGACTGAACCTGAACCATTTAGGGCTTTGTAGGTAATAACCTGCACTTTGAATTGAGCCTGGAAATGCACAGGCAGCCAGTGGAGCTGTTTTAACAGGCAGGGTTGTATGCTCCCTGTAGTGAGCTCCTGTTAATAATCTGGCCATCACTCTTTGCACTTGTTGTAGTTTCCGAGCCATCTTCAAAGACAGTCCCATGTAGAGAGCACTGCAGTAATCCATCTGAGATGTAACCAAGGTATGGACCACCATGGCCAGATCTGACTTCTCAAGGTACGGGCACAACTGGCATACAAGTTTTAATTGTGCAAAGGCCCTCCCTGCCACTGTCAACTCCTGAGGTTCAAGAGTCAGCACTGGATCCAAGAGGACCCCCAAGCTGTAGACCTGTGTACCTTAGGGGAAGTGTAATCCTGTCCAGAACAGGTTACCACTATATACCTCAATCAGCCTCACAACTGACCAAGAGGGCATCTGTCTAGTCTGGATTAAGCTTCTTAGCCCTCATCCAGCCCATCACAGCTTCTGGACACTTATTCAGAACCAGGGTGGCTTTGTGGAAATGAGTAATAGAGTTGTGTGTCTGTAATAGAGTAATAGAGTTCTGCGTAGAGATGGCACTAAACTCTAAAACTCTGGATGACCTCACCCAGTGGTTTCATGAGGATGTTAAGAGTACTCATTCTGGGGTCCATGACAGGGCAAGAAAATGTGGTTTATCCTTGAACATTTACTGCCAGGGAAGGGAAGAGGCATTTGTGGGGTTTCTTTGCCTCAAGAACTAAGCTTGCCGGAAGCTGGGGTACTATGTGTCAGGGGTGCAGTGTATGATATATTTGCTGTTTTGCCATAAGCAGAGAAAAGTTTCTGGGATTGACCCAACTGGATCTAAACTCA